ACATATCGTGTTTATCATCTGCACTCATATCTCAGTGTTGATGCGTGTTCCGAGACTGTCGGTGTCGCACCATGGTCTGGGAAATCCCCAAAGAGGGGCAATTATAAATAGGGAAGTGGGAATATTGCAACTTTCCAAAGAACGTGTCATCGATAGTCTCAACCTTGTACATTTGATAAAGAATATTATATTATTAAAATCATTATCATCCGCGATGCCTTTCACCCCTGGCAGGGTATAGGCCACATACAAGCTCCTTGCATTTATCTCTGTCGTCCTGAGCCATCCTTCCAAGCTCGTTCCAAGTGAACTTCACCTCTCTCATGTCCCTTTCCATGCATCTCCTCCATGTTTCCCGTGGCCTAACCCTGCCTCGTGCTCCTTATGGGTTCCACTGCAATGACTGTCTTGTGATGTTTCCTCTGGGCTTTCTTAAGGTGTGTCCCATCCTTATTAAAATGAGATGAATAATATTTTGAGACAGCCTTCAAAGCTCTCACTTGGCAGTCTACAGAATAGATGGTTCAGTGTAAACTGAATCACATGAGTAGCATCGTGGTGAAATCATGACTCATCTCCCCCCTCCCCCCCCCTCCTAAAAAAATAGAAAGAAAATTCAATAATGAACAAAATCCTTTTTTTCTACTCGTTGAGCAATGTCTTGAAATTTCTTTATTAAAAAAAAAATTGGTTCCACACTTTTTATGTCCATTTGTGAAAACATTTCTGTATGGATCATATTGAAAACAGTTGTTAAAAGATTTTTTTTTTTAAATTGTGATTTTCCGAGAGCACTGAAGCTCTGAGTGGCGTCAGTAGTTTAGTGGTTCGGCTACCGGGCCTGTAATCCTAAGATTGCGGGTTCGGGGTTTTGAGGGCCAGCTTAGTCCGACGTTGTGTCCTTACGAATGTCCCATATTTTTGCCAGGTCCTTTCGGGGATGGACGTTTTACTCAGAGCTCCCGTCTCTTAAATAACCTAATTGTGAGGCAGTGTGGTAGAATCAGGCCCTCGTCAAAATAATGAAATCGAAGAAAACAGCAGTTTTCTCCCTGCTTAGCCATTTTTATCAAATGTTGGTTTTTTTTGGCTCAACACCTTTTATGTCCTTTTACAAACATGTCCTATGAGGATTTCACAGAAAACGTTGATTAAAGGCACAAAAATATAAACTTACAGTTTCCATGGAATTTACCAAGCTTTGGTGGCCATTTTCTCGCTATTTTTACATCTTAAATCAGGTGACCCCCACCTCCTTCAATCCAAAATATATTCACTTCTATTGAAGATGACTGGGTAATCTTTTCATTAAAAGCAAGACAAATAAACAAGCTTTAAGATGCTACCAATAACCCAATAAGCCCAAAAATTGACGAGAGCCTGATTCTGCCACGCTGCCTCACTAATAGTCTTTACAAGGGGGTTACATTTCTGGAGGCTGTCAAAAAAGCACTTATTTTCAGATGCTGAAATTTCCTTGTGATTGAAATCATTAGTCTCAAGTTCTGAATATTTTCAAGGTAATTTCAGGACAGTCCTTGCAGATGAAAAAAAAAATCCCAACCAATCTATTAAATCCAATTTTCCAAAAAGGACAATACTGACATTTCAATGTTATCTATGATTGTTTGAAATGAGAGAACCAAATTGTGTTCGTGTCAACAGCTGTAGTAGCTGTGTGTATAAAAGAGACTGAGGACTCAGAGCCAAGCTACATCGCCTTGGTATATCTGGTCAACACGTAGGTATCAGCGCATGTCTTAGGCCTCGTGGATAAGCTACCAGACTTTGTAATCGTGAGGTTGCGTGGTCGGGGGTTCGAGCCGCGGGCCCGACGTTGTGTCATTGGGAAAGGCACTTTACACGAATTTTCCTCACTTCACCCAGGTGGGAATGGGTATCCGGCCATAGACAGCGAAAGATCTTGTCAGTATGTTAGTGTTTTAACGCCTTTAAAAGGCTGCTTGCACTGTATGCTTCCCAGGAAGTTGAGGTTGTTTCAGAATGTACTCAGGTCTGCTGGGGTAATAGTATAGATGGTGAAGCGCATAGAGCTTGCTGTTGAGCGGGTCTTTACGCTATACAAAATAGTGCTATCTATTATTATTATTATTATTATTATTATTAGTATTATTATTATTATTATTATTATTATTATCATTATTATTATTATTATTATTGTTGTTGTTGTTGTTATTATTATTATTATTATTATTATTATTATTATTATTATTATTATTATTATTATTATTATTAAGGGAAAAGTGTGTACACACGATGCCACTTGTCCGAGTCGAAAGTCCAGCTGCCTCATCTTTTGAGGTCGAGATTTGTTCAGATTTGGAAGTTGTTTGACGTATTTAGGTATTTAGCCTTCCTGACGTGGGGCTAGTCTCACTGTTTGCACATTCTAGAAGGGTTGTCATGTAAAACAATTATCATACGATAGGCAGCGGACGGAAAAGTAGAAGCCCGTGTATCGCTCTCCTTAACCAAGAGAGATGAACTACTACTGTCTCTAGTCAACCAAGGACCCACACAAAAGCTTGTGTGAACTCATCTAGAAGAGCGGTTGGCCGTGCTTCTCCTTCTCGTCCGTTGTCGTTCGTGAAGTAGCTCTTTGCTTGATTTTACCCACACAGAGGTTTGGCAAAGTCTAGGAATTGACTACAGCTGTTGTCTTTATTTCTGTATTTTTTTCCTAGCCACGAGACAAGCTAACAACAGCATGAGGCTCTCGTTTCTCCCGTCCCTTCTGCTGGTTCTTTTCCTCGTCCTTCACGGGCACGTAGGGAGGACCTCGGGACGTAGAAAAGAATACATCCCAAACCCAAACCAGTGGAAAGTACATTTCGCGCGGCGTGATGTGAAAGGAGACCTGATGGACCAGCTTCCGTCTGACGAGACGGACAGACTGACAAGAACCACGAAACAAGATCTTCCCATACTCTGGAACAGCAATTTGTCTGCTGATGAAGTGAAATTATGGTACATACAACAACATGCGAGGTGGATGATATGGAAAAATCTGGGGCGAGGAAAATGATCACAATTCCACTAGATCTAAGCTCAAATGATGAAGCTTCCTCACCATGAAAAAAGGTGAGATGTGATTTAATGTGCTTTAGGAAGAGACGGAAAAGGTTAGAGGTGGAGGAAAAAAAAAGAAATATTCCTGTCTTAAACAAAAGGTCAATACTAAGTTCTAGATCTAGCTAATAATACAGTTCTACAAGAATGATAATATTATAGAAAAGACAAAAAAATCTTCAGAAATAAAGAAAAAAAAATTAAACTGTTCTGCACAGCCGTGGCACGAACTAAACAGATAAAACTACTCGTTGTACACTGATGACCATGTCAGGAATTCTTTTTTCTATCAGCACTCATCTTGCGCTGTTTATTGTAACCCTCTGATTTTGTCAATGATTTCTGATACTGACCATCACATTTTCTTGGTCAGGAATGAATTACCAGTGTTGACATATCGTGTTTATCATCTGCACTCATATCTCAGTGTCCATTTTCACCCTCTGATTTCATCAACGAATTCTGATACCGACCATCAACTTTTTCAGGACAGGAATTAATCACCAGTGTCGGGACGTGAGGCTTAAGACACGACCGGAGTCACCCAAGATCAACAAGCTGCCAAATTCTAATTAAACACTGGCTCCAACATCACCACCACCACCAACAACGACGACAACAATAAAACTACAACATAATCATCATCAACAACAACAACGCCAAAAAACCTACTAACGGCAACGGCAACAATAATAAAACTACATCAGCAACAACAAAAAATAAAAAAAATAATGACATTGAAGAAAGTTATTGTGTTCATTTTTACAACACGGGTCCAACGGAATGTTTGAAAACAACATCAGAAGTGAGACAAGGCTGCACGATTCCACACCTTTTATTCTTCATCTATAGGAATAGAATCAAATCGGCGTCCGTGGGGTAGGCACTTCGCTGTCGCATACAGTAGACCCGAGTTCGATTCCCGATTGGGGAGAAACAAAATTAAATGTATCAAGTGTTTTGGCCTTTCTGCTCGGGTGCTGCATCCTTCTCAGCCCGGATTGGACCTGACAGGCAGGGTCGAAGCCCACCTCCTGAATGTTCTTACTTGTGAAGCAGCGTGGTGGAATCAGGCTCTCGTCAATTTTTGAGCATTTAGAGTTATTGGTGTCATCTTAAAGCTTGTTCACTTGTCTTTATTTCAGTGAAAAGAATATCCATTAATCTTGAATACAAGTCGAGATATTTGCCAATGAAGGAGGTGGGGGTCACTTGTTTTCAGAGGTAAAGTTAGTGAGAAAATGGCCACCACAGATTAGTTATTTCCTTAGCTTAAGAGTCCGTGGTAACTGAAAATTTACATTTTTGTGTGCCTTTAATCAACGTTTTAAAGAAAATTCCACACAGAAATGAGTTCTTTAATGGGCATGAAAGGTGTTGAGCCAAAAAACAAAAATTTGATAAAAACTCACAAACCTGCGGAAAAATGCAAGTTTCTTCACTTTGATTATTTTGACGAGAGCCTGATTCCACCACGGTGCCTCACAATTGTGTCGATGTAGGTGTAAAAATACCAACATTCAAAAAGAGCAAACTCTTCATCACCACACACACCACCGACGTGAAGAAAACATGCAGCACATTGACACAGAGTTCATCATCACACACACCACCGACGTGAAGAAAACATGCAGCACATTGACACAGAGTTCATCACCACACACACCACCGACGTGAAGAAAACATGCAGCACATTGACACAGAGTTCATCACCACACACACCACCAACGTGAAGAAAACATTCATCAAATTGACACAGAGTTCATCACCACACACACCACCGACGTGAAGAAAACATTCATCAAATTGACACAGAGTTCATCACCACACACACCACCGACGTGAAGAAAACATGCAGCACATTGACACAGAGTTCATCACCACACACACCACCGACGTGAAGAAAACATGCAGCACATTGACACAGAGTTCATCACCACACACACCACCAACGTGAAGAAAACATGCAGCACATTGACACAGAGTTCATCACCACACACACCACCAACGTGAAGAAAACATGCAGCATATTGACACAGAGTTCATCACCACACACACCACCAATGTGAAGAAAACATGCAGCACATTGACACAGAGTTCATCACCACACACACCACCAACGTGAAGAAAACATGCAGCACATTGACACAGAGTTCATCACCACACACACCACCAACGTGAAGAAAACATGCAGCTTATTGACACAGAGTTCATCACCACACACACCACCAACGTGAAGAAAACATTCATCAAATTGACACAGAGCTCATCACCACACACACCACCAACGTGAAGAAAACATTCATCAAATTGACACAGAGTTCAGCACCAACAAAATGTGTCACAAGCGGTGGAATCGGCGTTCCTCAATTTGGGGCATGTTGAGTTATTGGTATCGTCTTAAGGTACACCACAGCAGTAGCCAACAGCCAGAAATAGTCGATTTTGGACCACTGTAGCAGATTGGAAATATTTTCAAGTGTCTAAAACATCTATAAAGTGCTCACATATGCCATGTTTTTTAACATTGTGTTGAAATAGATCAGTATGAATTCGTCTTTTTTTTTCTTCAGTTTTCTCAAAAGTATAATTTTCTTAGGGGAGGGGGGGGTCGGTCACCTAGGCAGAGATATTTCGGAAAGTACACGTCACAGCTCAATCCCACTTTGTACGACTGTTTCTAGATAATATGTTTCCTACGTACTAAAATATTATTGTCATATTGTAATACGTTTTCTGTCAGTGTAAAAAGATTGACGGTGTCACTCTGATTTGTGATCAATTTTTTTTTGTCCGAGTATTGTATCTGACACTAAAATGACAGTTTCCAGAAAAGAGTGAGATTTAGGAAAGTAACCATGTGGTATGTTGGAGGGTGTACAGAAATACAGTGTGAAAATATCAAATCTGTATCAATTCAATCTTTTTCAGAATCCCTGCATAGAATTTGCGCGAATTTTGGTCCGTCGAGCCCTTTGCATCTAAAGAATTTTCAAAAAATTGACAGTGAAATCCTATAGGGATAGTGTGTTTCTGTTTCTTGTCCCATGTTCGTTATTGTGAATCCCAGTATACTTAATGTGGAGCCCAAACAAACATGTTCACTTCAGCTGTACCTAGTGCCCCTTAAAGATTGTTCGTTTGTCTCGAACCCACGACCTTACGGTTGCGAGTCTGAGAGCCTAACCACTCGGCCACCGATCCTACTAGGTCTTGTACATTTTTGATGTCTAACAACCTGGACACTAAACATTACCACGTTGTTTGTACAGGTGTCCTGGAGTCGCTGTAAAACAGATATAAAAAACTTTTTACCCGCTACGATCTCATTCTATTGCTGAGTTTATATTCAATGTTTTGCAGTAAGATAATTCATTGCTTTTTAAGCATGGCTTTTACCCCCCCCCCCCCCCCCCCCCATCCCCCTTACACCCCAAAACAACCAAAGACCAAAAACAAAAACCAAAACAAAAGAGCAAAATAACAAAATAACAAAACAACAACAACAACAAAACAAAACGACTTTGAACACAAACAAACAAACAAACAAACAAACAAACAAACAAAAACCAACCAAAAACTGTGAGAAACCGTCTAAACTATAAGGTAATAGAAGGTGTAAAGTTATATCGATGTTATATGCACACAGAGAGAATCTAAAAGAAATGTTCAGCAAAAGTGTAGACGTGTAAGGCAAAGAATGTGAATAGAAAAAACAGGAATATTATTTCTGAAATAGTTTGTGTAACGCAGGACAAACGAATGTGCAACTTGCAGGGCTCCGACAAAGTCAGATTTCAGCATTCTGCCAAGGAGTTGTTCACCATTGTGTTTTGTTTAACCGTATCCGTACGTCGTATTTTACTATCGTATTCATACGACATGGAGAACTTTGTGCCACCACTTAACCCTATCCGTACGTCGTGTTTTACTATCGTATTCATACGACATAGGGAACTCTGTGCCACCACTTTCCAAGGAGGAAATTTACTCGTTAATCCGACCCGTACGCTTTGCATAAGAGTCTGTCAAAATGATTTTTTGAGAAATACTGAAAGTTTCAAAGAGATCTTCGCACTAGAAATATTCTAAAATGTGAATAATATTATGTATAACCCGGAAGGTACAAAATGACCGTAGGGCGTACGGATAGGGTTAACTGTTCTTCTGCATCTTGAGGGTCTTTTGGCTTGGAAGACTTATCAATACAATGAACTCCCTTTATTGTTGTGGACAGTTGCCAGAATCTGTTGACGATATTTGCAGGGACACAGTTCTCCAATAAGACAACACGTCTCTTTATAACGGGAATCAAATTATTGACTTGATCCAAAGGCAGGATTATGGACAGCTGGATACCAGTAACTGTCATCTCTAACTCAGAGGTTGACGTATAATGACCCTCCATCTTTCACGGTCTCGAGCTGCCGTTGCACATTCTGTCATATCCAGGACAATCCATTTTCTTATGTTGTCCATCCATGTTACTCTTTGCCTTCCTCTGGCTCTCCTGCCCCACATCTTTCCTTCAAGCACCTCTTTCACAGTGTTCTCATATCGTTTTAAGTGACCATAGTATTGTATTTTTCCTCATTCTATTTTGTTCAGCAAGGTTTGTCTTGTGTGTAGAATCTGACACACCTCTTTGTTGGTTTTTTTTGTTTTCCAACTTATTCTCGCCATTCTACGGTAGCACCTCATCTCAAACGCATTTATTTTGTTTTCTTCTTTCCTTGTCAAAGTCCAGGTCTCTGCAATATATAGAAATATGGGGAAGGTGTAGCATGACAGAATTTTCTTTATTAAAGTGAGAGATACTTGCCTGGATTTAAATAGTTTGCACATTTGGCTGAATCTTGATTTTGCAGCTGCTGCTCTTATGTTTATTACTTTTCACTTCTTCCATCATTTGTGATTGTTACCCTTAGATATTTGAATTGGTGTACTTGATCGATCCACTCCCCATCAATGGTTTTGTCTGTTGTTCTTCCAGAAGATTTTGATGGGACTTTTTATGGGAAGGGGGGGGGGGTGTTGGCATTCATGTCGAAGCCTGTCTTGCTGCTGTTCACTTTTACTTCTTTCACAATTTTAGAAAGATATTCGTTTGTGTTTGCAAGCAGAACTATATCACCCGCGTATCTAGAGATTTTAATATTATTCTGATGTTTTATTACACTTTGTAATTGCTGCCTCCTGCTGCCAGTAAAGCTTTCCTATTATTCGTATATCTTTACCTCCAATACCTATCTTCTCCAAACATTCAATCATGCTGATGTGATAAATTCTGTTAAAAGCTTTTGAGTCGTCAATGAGGCAAGCAAAGAGGTCTTTATAGACTTGAATATTTTCTGCACTATTGTGTTCATGTAGACGATTCCATTTCTAGTGCCTCTCCCTTACCCGAATTCGAACTGTTCTTCTCCAATTTTTGGGGCAGAGATAAAAAAAGGGTGGCTGGGTGATGGGGGAGGGGGGGGGGGTTATTGTGGCATCCCCCTCACATTCCCAACCATGTTTCTTTCGAATTTTATCTTTTCCGGTTTCAAAAGCTTTTTTTTTAGTTGGAAAGAAGCCCAGAGAATATTGTGACGATCCTATCTCAGACGTTCGCTTTTGGCTATAGTCTTTTCATCAGGTGTTTTCCAATATATAGATCCTGGGTTA